GGGGACCTTAAAAACTGGCTCAACAAATTCTTCGACACCACAACGGCCGATTTTCGGCGAATCGCCATCAACAAATTGGTCGAGAGATGGGAAGAGGTCGTGAGCAGTAACGGAGGATACATCATTGGTTAATTTATTATTATAATTGTTGTTTTTTGGTTAAGATAAATCTTCGTGAAAAAACTCTACGAACTTATGTTACAACCCAATACTTCGACTTTGGTGTTCCCTTCCCCACTTTTACGCTATTCTGGACCACCACCATTATTCGTCTGAAACTAGCTCCCCCAAAATAATGGTGAACTATGCGTTAAAAGGTGTATCATTAGTATATATAGAGCGCTCTGTCTGTTTGTTTGTAGGGAAATTCGATATAAAGAAACACCTGGAGAAGTCGGGTCAAGTTTGGAGTGGGTTGAGCATAGGGTAAGTGCAACAGAGCACACGTGAGCCTAGCGGAGCTCCTTCCCCCAGGGCGGGGCATGCGCCGGAAACGGGTGGGGTCATGGGGGAACTCTTCTAATTCAGTCTCATAACATTCCAGAAGCCGGGAAAATGTGCAAAGGTGAGAGATGGGTCAACAATTGAAATAAAGGAAACTTGGGGTGGGCGGAGCGTTCTCGCAGTGAGCGGTACTTTCCACAGAACTTTATAACTCGGTTCAACGATGGCAACGAGGCCAGGAAAAAATAAAAAGAGTGAGCAAGGCCTTATGCGTGCTGGGCAAAGCTCCGCCCACAAGGGGTGGGGCGTGCGTTGAAGTGAGAGCTACTTTTCAAAGATGAGTGCAACTTTGTTCGGAAACGTTCTAGAATGAGGGAAAAAAGTGGTTAGAGGTAAAGGGAAAAATGTGGTTAAGTCCCAGAAGTGGGCGGAGTTGGCACCATATGGGCGGGGCTTAGATCACTAATTCGTAACTCTATTCAGAAACATTCTGGGATGCGGCGAAAAAAGTGGGAAGATGTAGTAAAACAAATAATGTCGAATCCCAGAAGTGGGTGGGGCTTAGATCAAAATTATTAGGTCTCTTAAGATGCGTTTTTGAACGCGAGAAAAAATGTCTGGAGGTAGTAAAAGTAATGTGGTTCGAAGTCTGAAGTGGGTGGGGTTTGCAAAGAAGGGACGGGGCTGAGAACAAAAGTTTATACATCTGTCCTTCACACTAACCCTGACCACATAGATGTACAAATAGGAGATACCACTAAACTCTCTCTAAAATTGGGTTTTCTAAAAGTTAGTGTCCATGGTTCCACACACGGTAGTCCCTTCTACTCAAGTGCAGATGCACTACATTAACTTCAGACCTTATGAAATAAATTCTACAATAACCCCGGCCACACAGGTGTATACCCCCATAGAGACGTGCAAATCCCCACAACCAAAAATTTGTTAATTAAGATCAGAAAAGGTTCAAGTTATGGCTTGGTCAATCCCCGTCGCCCTTGCTGAAGAATATTGTGTATACAGAAGTATTGCTTTGATAAATTACATGTTCCAAAATCAATTGTTATGTATGCCATGCTAATATTCCAACCGAGCTGGACAAACTTTTATATTGTACATCAAACACCCTTCTTGAACTGCGTGCCTGTCAGTCCGAATTTTCGTGATCTAGCGAAAAATTCCATGCTTCCCATAAGACAAACAAATGATGCCCGCTACAGAAGTGTCAGGGAATAGGCTCAGATGATAAAAGTTATAACATCTTGGCCGAGGCTCCTCACGAACATGTGACACGAAACAGTTGATGTTGGTGATTTGTGTTGTATCGAGAAGAGTATGAGGATGCAGTTGTCTTCGTGCGTCTCTTGTTACAACACTGATTTAATAAAGGCATTCTTAAGAATAGACTAACATTCTTTTTATGATTCTAATATTTATTATTGCAGTTTGGCGGAATGCCATACCCGGTCCTACCAGGTGGCCGCCCTCCGTCGCCATGGTTTGCAGACCTTCGTTACACCATCGTTACTCCTCTTCCACATTCCTACGACAGTGTATATGAGGAAGTTGTTGGATCACCGAGGTAATTTTACGACCATGCAATTTCTTTAATAGCAAGAATGCCTTGTGAATTGATCAGAACATCTTAAAAGAGGTTTTTCGCGCCATAAGCACTATTGATCAGTTATTGAGAGCTCCAAATAAGTTGTTACACTTCATTTTTGTCATGTATTTGGACGCAGTGTTGTGACAAAAAGCTGAAGACCTGTAAGAATAACTAAAATTCCGAATGAAGTCAGAGGGAAATAGAGCATTAAGGCGGTCTTATGCAAAAAAACTTTTGAAACTTTTATTAACACGTTGGCGACCATGCGTCCCGATGCCAGGACGCACGTTTTTAGCTCGCTNTATTTATATCATTTATCAGGTGTCCCTATAATTTTCATGTTTTCATGTATCAGCTGAGCTCACAGCCTCTTAGAGAATCTTGAAGCATTGCGGTCCAAGGATCATCCATTTCTAACTTCAGATATGAAAAAATAAAGGTTAATCTAAGGGCAATATAAAAGCGCGGTCTCCAATGGGTTAAACGCAAAGTTGTGGGGCTGATGGTGAATTTCGTTCAAACATACTCCATCAGGATCATGATTCAGGCGGAATTTGCCTTTTTGAAGTAAATTTTGGCAACATACGTAGTTGAAGACCCATGTTGGAGAATGATAGTGGTGTTCGCTATCATACCATTGTATATAAAAGAGCGTTCCGTTGAGTATGATTCATTCTTTGTGTCAACTCCAATGTTACAACAACCAACATTTCAAAATTCAATGTATTCATGACATATTGAATAGTAAATTCTATTGTTCAGTGCAGGGAACAAACACAGATCATTTTGAAAATGTTGTTTTGCAATTTTCCAGTCAAGCGTCTTTATCAGATTTTCAAAACCTGACAGTCACCTAAAATAATCAATGAGTAACATGTTTTTACTTTCAAAAAAGGTATCTTGTGATTATTGACGGCATGTCAGAGAATTGAAAATGCTCAATAGCAGTGGAATTGACATCTCACGGTCCTTTCGATCTTTAAGTTTAAGAATTGCCTAGGGTGACTGCTGCCATGGAAGTTGAAGAAGCGAAATATTTGTCTACTTCAAGGAAAATGGTATTGAAGAAAGTCACGACATTCTACTATGAAATTCGAGCGACATTGTCACGTTTTATTTGCAAGATATGTGCCTACATCCTTTTCAAAGTATGCATAAAACTAGGCTGATATTCGGGTGCAGCCTTACTCATGGATTTTTAAGGTTTTCCGCCGCTTCATGACTCGCTTGTTGATCAGTCCACTACAGATGAGACGAGTAGTTGAAGCAGAAAACGTTTGGTTTATCTTAATGTTCATTTCCTATCTTGCAAAGCTGATCATTTTTTGGTTATATAAAACAGTTTTTTTAAGACGGGTACACCACTTGTTTATCTCCCTCTTCATCGCTCTCATTTCGATTATCTTCTCATCACATGGACTGCATGGCACTTCGGCCTTCGTTTGCCTCACATTGCTTCTGGCGACAATTTGAACCTAAGTGGCCTCGGGTTTGTTTCAAGTGTTCTAGTGTTTGTTGTTTCTCTTTTTTCTGTTGGTGTAATTATCTTCAAGGACATGCTTTATACAAGGTTTATCCATTACTTTTTAATACCAGATGGCTTCTGCGATCCACTGGAGCTTTTTTCATCCGAAGGCGGACTGATGAAAATGAGGAAAGGGGAAGAGATGCCTGCTATCGGTTGGTGCTTCAGTTTCTTTTCATTATAATGTTGGTGTGCAACCTTGGACTTTGTTTCTGTCTTTTTTTTTTTNTTAGTCTAAAATTCGTTCGCGATCCATTACGTCTGAACTTATCTACAAAAGCATGCAACGTTCCAATTTAATATTTTCTTCGTCTATACTGTAGCCATACCGTTCCATAGGACTTACTGAGATTCTCACAGGCAAATGGGGCAACTGGGAGTCTTTCAAAAATCAGAGTTCACCAATTAACTTATTGTGAGTGTGGAGGTGAGGCAGTACAAGGTGGTCCCGTTACCGTCTGTATGAGCGAGTGTTTCCATTTTACCATGGAAGTAATGAGGTCGGAATCTGCGGCGATGTGGTGCCCTTGACGGATCACTTTGTTTAGTATCACTTGAATGTTATGGAGCCTGTAATATCCTGGTTGTTTAGCCCGCTTTGTATTCTGTTGGGCTTTTTTACACGCCGCATGCTTTCTGGTCGCGTGGGACCACGCGGCTCATCGCTGAGCCGCACCCCACTCATTGTTGCTTTCCTTGATTACTTGTATTTAATGGGTTTGCAATAACCAAATAATACTCTACACAAAGTGGACAGAGAAAAACATTGTTGATTTCTGGAAACTACAAATAAGTACAATACTCTCCCGGAAAGCACACTTTTCGTGCATTTCTCGTAAACATCAGTGCAAAAATACATCTGAAATCCAAAACATTAACAAACCAACATAAAACAAAACAACATACATCCAAAAATTGACATCTGCTGCCCCTAGCATTGGCTCGTCTTACATTACTGGGAGCGTAAACACGTCAATCGCGAGATAGTTGTTTTCAAACAACTTTTTCGAAAACTTGCCCTTTTTTTAACTTTCTATCCTCGACTTTTATGAGTGTTCTTTTTCGAGTGCAGGTCAAGCGCGCGATATCTCTCTTATTTATAAAGCAGTAACTTGGTGTATCGGTTTATCGGTATGTCGGTTTGTCGGTTTGTGTGTTTGTCTGTCTGTGCTTCGTGGAACTTATGATTACGATGATAGTAGTGTTATGGAGAACCGGGCTGTGTTCCACATTTCCTTATCTCTCTCATTTATAAAGCAGAGTTTTGGTGTGTCGGTCTGTAAGTTTGTCGGTGTATCGGTTTGTCGGTTTGTCGGTGTGTAAGTGTGTCCTACGCAAAACTTACAATTACGATAAGGGTAGTGATATGGGGAACCTTGCTCTATTCTACACTTCCTTCTTATATATAAGACAGTAACTTGGTGGGTAGGTTGGTGGAGTAGAGTGAGTAGTGAGTAGAGGAGTAAAGTGAATGGTGTGGAGTGAAATGGGTACTTCAAAACTGGATATCCATCTGTACCGGCATCGCGCAATGTAAGTCTTCACAAAAATGGAGGTGCTTATCATTGGGAGACTCCTGATTTCTTCTAACATAATCATAACATAAGGAGGATAGCCCATAATTGTGCTCATTAACGTTTCATAGTCGAGAACATACAGTTTTTTGATCTTAGCTTTAGGAGGAAAGGGGTGCCGAGGTGGGTGAGTCAATTGAATATTAACTCGTACCACATCGTAGCTTTTTGCGATCATTCCACCCCCACCACACCGCTCCTCCCCTACTGAGGCTTAGTCTGAAACTATATCCTTTCGGCTAGAACCGTTTCAGACCAGGGAAGGATCTCAAGTCGGAGTGGCCACTCAAATGAGACCTACACTATGGACGTATTTTTGGATGCTGAGTTCAAAGTTGTTTTCCAAATTTGCCAAGCGTTTCTCTGAACCGAGTTATGGGGGTGCTTTCAGGGAGCTTAGCATAAGGAAACTTAATTTACACGGATGTGCTGGCACCGGCGGTTTGGTGTAGTGGTAAGCGTGACGCATCATGGGCGAGAGGTTGGGGTTCGGGTTTTGTGGGGGACGGAATTTCGCATTATATAGGGAAGGGGTGCCGAGGTGAGTGAGTTAATTAAATATTAACTCATACCCCATCCTACCTTTTTGCGTGGGGCAATCATTCCACCCCACCCCACCGCTCCTCCCCTTCTTACCAGGGAAGGATCCCAACTCGAAGTGGCCATTTGAATTAAGACCTATACTGCTAGACGTGTTTTTGGGCGCTGAATTCAAATCCGCTTTCCAAATCTGCCAAGCGATTCTCTTAACGGAGTCATGAGGGTGGTTTCATGTGACATTACATGAGAAAACTTAAATTACATGGCTGCAGCTAACTCCTCAACGGCGGCTTGGTGTAGTGGTAAGCGTGACGCTTCATGGGCGAGAGACTAGGGTTTGGGTTTCGTGGGGGACCGAGTTTTTGCATTATATAGAATTTTCTTTTTAGGAGCTAAAAAATACTCTCACGATGATTTTATCACGTTTTATGAATTCTTGATGCTTCTGCTGAAGCCCCCTACCTCTCGTCTATTCACAATTAGTACCATCAATAAATTTTTCAAATGATGGGGTTGTTCTAAACTTTTCCACTTTTGCCGCGTGGCAAACGTGGCAGAAATGTAGAACAGATGGGCTGATGAGACACTGTCATACGAGTAGTATGTTGTGCCCACAGTTGGTAGTGTCGCATTTATTGAAGAACTTCGGTTCTTGTGATATAGAACGCGCCCCAACCAGGAAAGAACAGAAGTTGATAGATAGCTTTTCCGCTATCTCACGGGATGCCGTGCACGACGACCTCAATGTTGAGTGCGAAGAAGGCAGTATCATAGAAGAAGAGGAGGCCGACCCGTTGTGGGAACTTGACGATGAAGAAACACCAGGCTCGTTTAAACGGTCGTTCCTATTCGGTGTCATAGAGGTTCCTAAAGAACAGGTATTCTTTCTGTTTCCCCGACACAAATATCTGTGAGGTGACGTTGCCGTGATCCAGGTGGAACGAGCCATCGCGTTTTACCGTTCGAGCGCAAAAGGAAGCCGCCCCCATCTCTTAAAGTTGAGGCAAATTGAGAGAGAAGGTGAGCCATAACTTTGGGAAGCATTACTGGTTTTGTGGTAACTTATGGACATCTGAAGGTAGGTGAGTCCGCGAGAGTCGCCTGGAAGACCTTGCGAACGTTGGCAGACCTTCTGAAAGGAGAAATTAATTCGAAGCTTGACTCCGGTGTGACGTTGCATGACTGCGAAATACGTCAAATGGCTCCGAGGATCAACAAGGAAAGGTCGATAGTAGAAGGATTCAAAGCTGGACACCGATGGATACAACAGTTCAAGGTCTGGTTTGGTTTCCTGACGTATAACCACCTTCTGCTCTAGAAAGAGTTTCATGGACAGGGAGCGCATTTCTATGGAAACTCAAAACTGTGAGCGAAGAGAGAAAAGGTAGGAACTGAATCGTCAGCACACCTTTCTAGAGTTCTCTTTTATCTTGGAAATGCCGTGTTGCTTCAACATTGCCAGTTTCTAGAGATGGAAAGATGGCCATTGGGGGCAGTATGTAACGCTGACCAAAGTGGGTTTATGAAGGAAATGCATACTAGGAGATCGCCAGCAATGAAAGGTTCGAAGAGAGTAGAGAGGATCGCACAGTCTGTCTCTGCCACGACTCACTCGTTCACTGTTATGCCTTGCCTTTTAGCTGACGGTCATCTAGGCCAGAAGCTCTTCGTGGTGATTCAGGTGGGCTATCAAAATATTTGGCATTACACAAGGTTTTTCAACCGGACTTTGTTAGGAAGCTACTGGCGAGTTCCCGAGTAGAGGATTTTTCTGTGCGCGAAATTTGGAGGTCCGAGCGAGTAAAACGCACATGATGAGCAAACAGCTGATTCTAGACTGGGTGCAATCATGCGTAGCAGCTCCGGACTCACAAACACCGACACTGTTGATACCGGACTCGTGGACATCGTTCAAAGACCATGAAGCTATTCAATCCGTCTTACCTTCACAAAAGCAGGTGAAAGTAATGAACATCCCTGCTCGTACGACGAGGTTGATACAGCCGCTAGATGTTCATTTCTTCTTGCCCTTTAAAATATGATCAAACGCATAACCTCTCATGTAATAGCTCATGATCAACTTCTGCGTGTACACTCGAGACTCCATTCTTCGCTTATTATCGCTTGTCTACTTTCAGTTCTGTGCTGTTAGATTTAGAAAATTCCTCTCCTATTCATGGTATGCCGCCGGCTACTTAACCGCTCACCCGGGCGATTTTGAGCCTCCCACACACTTCTGTTTCCCTTCTGATTTGGTGAGTGATTGTGAAGCACTGGGCTGTGATGAGTTCTTTTTCATCCGTTGCTCCCACTTTGAGAAGCTTCTTTGTTTCAATCATTTCGTGCTAGAGTATCATATTTGTTTATGAAATTATCCTAGTGTGAATATAGAGCGCATGGATATGCGAATAAAATTTAAACATTAATGTTTTAGGTGGATAAATATCAGCAAAATCATCAAGAATTCATAAAACGTGATAAAATCATCGTGAGAGTATTTTTTAGCTCTTAAAAAAATTCTATATAATGCAAAAATTCGGTCCCCCACAAAACCCGAGCCCTAGTCTCTCGCCCATGAAGCGTCACGCTTACCACTACACCAAGCCGCCGTTGAGGAGTGAGCTGCATCCATGTAATTTAGGTTTTCTCATGTAATATCACCTGAAACTACCCTCATAACTCCGTTCAGAGAATCGCTTGGCAGATTTGGAGAGCGGATTTGAATTCAGCGCCCAAAAACACGTCTAGCAGTATAGGTCTTTTTCCAAATGGCCACTTCGAGTTGGGATCCTTCCCTGGTTAGGCTTATTCTGAAACCATATTCTTCCGCCTAGAACCGTTTCAAACCAGGGAAGGATCCCAAGTCGGAGTGGCCATTTAAAATGAGACCTACACTACTGGACGTGTTTTTGGATGTCGAGTTCAAAGCTGCTTTTCAAATTTGCCAGGCGTTTCTCTGAACCGAGTTATGGGGTTTCAGGGAGCTTAACATAAGAAAACTTAAGTTACACGGATGTGCCTGATTTTGCAATGGCGGCTTGGTGCAGTGGTAAGCGTGACGCTGTTCGAGAGGCTGGGTTCGGGTTTTGTGGGGGACGGAATTTTCGCATTATATAGAATTTTTCCTTTAAGGACCAAAAAATACTCTGATGGTAATCTTATCACTTTTTATGACCTTTTAATGCTTTGGTGACACCATCTCATACCTGCCTACCTGTTACCGAGTGGGAGATTCCTTCGTGCGCAAAATTTGGAGGTCCGGGAGAGTAAAATGTATATGATGAGCAGTGATGATGCTAGAGTGGGTGTTGGTAGATTGGGTGCGATGGTGCGTAGCAGCTCCGGATTCACCAACACCTGCCTTGTTGATAGTGTTGATAGTGGACTCGAAGACCAGAAAGCTATTCAGTGCGCCTTACCTCCACAAAAGCAGGTGAAGGGAATGGCTGCTTCCAAAGTCCGTCTGCGTGCCGGCGTGCCGGCGTGCCAGCCGAGGTGGTGCTAGGGGAGAGGAGGGGGCATACAGTCAGGGGTGAGCCTATTTAGTTCCACGTCTAATTACTTCGCACCTTCCTCGCCCACTCACTCGCCTGTGGGGTGGCCTCGCTTAACCCATTGACGACCGCGTGGCCCGTATACGGGCCACACCATATCGTGCTCCTGGGACCGCGTGGCCCGTATATGGGCCACAGTAGTATTTTTCATGTATAACATTCACTTTCAATTTTTTTGACGCTTTCGAGTATAAAGCAGGATTATGACCCTCTATAGAATCTTGAGGCGCAGTGGTCCGCGTATTTTTGACTTCCGTCTATAGTAATGACAGAAAACAAAAGTATCTCTGAGGGCAGCGATAAAGGAGCAAGACCAAAGTTTTTAAACTGATAAGTTACATGCACTTCTTATGTTAACTCAGAAAACATTCCAAACAAAAGTATTCGTGGCATTTGTCGCACTTTGTCGAGTCTTTTTTTGCATGGTTCATGGCATATAGTCCCGTAGTCTGGGCATTTTCACAAGTCCCATCTGAATGCACAGTGCGATGAACTTCTTCAGCTCTTCTTTATTAGTGTCCACGAAGCTAGAGTCCTTGTGCGACCCGTATCTATTTGTTTCCGTTCCTATAAGCGTCAGAAGATTGTCGTCGATGAATAATTGGAAGAAATCTATCGGAGCAGAACACATTGACACCGCATTGTTCGGCCCATGTTGCTGAGTGAAGTCCCACCTGGTGTCAGCTTCAACATCACTTATCCATTTTTCGGTGCCACTGTCTTCGCTGTCAAGTGTCGTCACCGAACTGGAATCTGAAGTAGACTCTTCTGTTGAGGGAAAAATTGCCTGCGAATCCTGTGAATCATCTGTATCGCCGCCTTCGTTTTCAGCGTCGGAGTCCAACAGTAAATCTCGAAAGTGTTCGTCCAGATCGGCATCATCATAATAATTGGAATCCACCATCCTAGGGAAAAATATAATTTTAACCATAATTCATGCATGAAGGGGTGCAAAGTTACCCTTCCTTTGTAGCTTACTTGGAAGGATCGAGCGATAGAATAATCCCAATTTTTACACCTTATTCGCCGCCATTACGAGGCTTACAAGTTGGNCAAAATCCTTCCTTTTTCGAAATCCTAGGGGTAGCTACAGCTACTTCAAATCCGGGGCACACCTAAATGGCGAAAGGCAGGTAAGCAAGGGAAGAAAGCATCACGTTGTAATCTATCGGGACCAAGTGGACGGAGAATGGACCAAGTGAGCAGGAAACAGAGCAATTCTGCAGGAGAATGTCTAGATACGTCACCGATAATGCTTCATAGTTTCCTTATAAAATAAAGATTTTGAATTTTTACATTGTATTGTCCCAACTGCATATTATTTTAAAATGTGTAATAATAACAAATAATAATATAATAATATCAGTAATGATAATAATAAAGTTTCCAATCCATAAGATCAATATCAGTTCACTCAGACTGCCAGAGAGGTCACAGCCAACTAATTAAGCGAGGTCACCCCACAGGCGAGTGAGTGGATGCGCGAGAAAGGTGCGAAGTAATTGGAAGTGTGGAGCCGTGGAACTAAATACCGACTCCCGAATGGCTGCTTCCATAGTCCGTCTGCGTGCCGGCGTGCCGGCGTGCCAGCCGAGGTGCTAGGGGAGAGGAGGTGGCATACAGTCAGTCGACGCGCTTGCGTCGCGTCCAAGCCCCTACGTGGGGCTAAAAACAAAGAAAAACATGATCAAAAACCATTTGCATTTGCCCTCCGAAGGGGCTCGAGCGCGACGCGACCGCGTCGACTGCCCGTCTGCCTCCCTCCCCCCTCCTAGCACTGGCGCACCAGCACGCCGACGGACTATGAAAGCAGCCAATGACACCCTGCTCGAGGCTACCACGAGGCTAATACAGCCGATAGAAGCTGATTTCTTATTTTCTTCTCAAAATATGGTTAAAAGCACCACCTCATATCAAATAGCTCATGATCTGAACTTTTGCGTGTGCACAGTAGATCCCATTCTTCATCGCTTACTATCGCTTGTCTACTTTCATTTCTGTGCGACTGGATTCAGGAAATTCCTCTTGTATTCATAATATGACGCCGGGTGATTTTGGGACGTCTACACAATTCTGTTTTCCTTCTGATTTGGGGTTAGTAAGTGTAGAGCAAAGGGCTATGATGAGTTCTTTTCTTCATCAGTTGCTTCCATTGTGAAAAGCTTCTTTGTTTCAAGCATTTCGTGCTAGAGTACCACATTTGTTCATGGTGGCAGTGAGATCAAGTGGCAAACGTTATCCTTCTGTGAATATAGAGTGCATGGGCATGCGAGTAAAACTGAAGTATTACTTCATGTGGTTAAATTCAGCAAAGGCATTAAAAGGTCATAAAACGTGATAAAATCACCATGAGAGTACTTTCTGGTCCATAAGGGGGAAATTTTATATAATGCAAAAATTCCGTCCACCACAAAACCCGAACTCTAGCCTTTCGCCCATGAAGCGTCACGCTCGCCACTACACCAGACCGCCGTTGCGAAATTAGGCACGTTCATGTAATTTAAGTTTTCTTATGTTAAGCTCCCTGAAACCACCGCCATAACTCGGTTCAGAGAAACGCTTGGCAAATTTGCACTCCCAAACGCTCCCCTACAATTGGGGAGAGATGAGACGTCATAAGTTTCGGACAGCGAAGGTAGGATGAATGGTTTAGCGGTGCAGAATCACGTGGTGAGTTGGCATTACTCTTGAAGTGAATTAACATTTCCTGGTGTTTCTGGTAGCGACTAGGCAAAACCGATAACCTATTGGCGACAACGCAGTCCACCTGTGGACTACACTTTTTTGGCCGTGTGGCATGATGAAGTCCATATGTGGACTGTAGTTACATTTTTTGATTTATTTATTTATATTTCAACTTTTTAGCGATATTTCTTCTCGAAACGTTTAATCAGGCCTAAATGAAACCAGATGCTGCGTGGTCCCTGAAATCTTCTGGTTTTGCAATTTGAAGGTGTTTGCGAGGAAGTACATCCTGTGGTGAATTCTCCGTTCATTGAACAACCTAAAAAAAAGAGATATTTTGAAAAGACGGTCGGCATAAGCAGAATGTTGTTGTTGGCCAAATGCAAAGCTCGTAAAAGCTCTCCGAAAGGATTTCTGGTAATGACTGAATTAATAATTGAACGACCGACTGCTGGTTCCTAAGAGCAGTAGTCTCTCAATGTGGGCATTCTTATCAAATCCATTTGTAGGCACATTCCGAAAAACATAGATTTCTCCGTCTCCAATTCCCGTAAATGTGTTTCTAACTGCAGCAGCTTTTGCATTGCCATACCAGTTGCTTTCTGCTATGTTCAAATCCATAATACTGGTGTCCAAGTGTCAATTGAAATTATCGATTGATTTCTCACAACTCAAGACATCATCATGTACCCCTCAGTCTTCATCGAAAGCGAATCAATCGTGTTCTTCAACTTCACTTGTTCAAAAATGGACACTGCCCGAAAAAAGGGCACAAGTTTCATCATCCTCATCCTCTGCCTGCTCCTCATCAGAATTGATCAGTAGCTGACTAGAATTCAGGTTCTGCATATCATTATCGTTAGCCATAAGCTCAATTTGTGAATTCAGATAAAATAGAAAATTTCAAATTTCGGAATTCAAAAATGGTCGTGCTGGACCATGTAGTACATATGTGGGCTGCACTCGCGAATGGACTAAGAGCTCGTCTTTCCCTCGCAGTGCTTTCCCTGCCAAATGTGATTGTCGTGTCGACAATAGGGTAAATGCACAGTCCACGATAATTTGAGGTGCACTTTCTAAGCTCAAAAGCGGAAAAAATGGTGAGAACTGTGCATCGGGGCGAAGAAAGCAATAAAATCGCCGACTTAGCGACCAACAGACATCATAAAAATGTGAAAGTAGAGGTTATACGACATCCCCATGATGGTCATGGCTCTAAAAAGCTTATCCGGACAAGTTTTCGGTTATTGCAAATGTATAAAAAATTGATAACCGTAACGGCCCTCCGTTGTTGCACTTTTGCCACTTGCCTGGGTTCCTACTTTTTGTTTGAAGTTTCAACGTATGTGCTCTGTTCGATCGTATACGCTATCCTAGAGTCTCACAAAGTTGGGTTATAGACAAAATTTCGGTATTGGACGAGACTCCAACTCGTATTCACGCTTTCCGGGCACTGTGCTCTTATCCCTTACACTACCGGTATCTCACTCCCCCTCACCTTCTTAATGACTTATAAAAAGTACAAATTGTTTTGTGGATACTCTTGACATCAGCCTTTGGTAAGTAAGTCTTGGCTAAGAAATACGTAACCAATGCCACACTCCAGCAGTAGTGATTGAAAGAAAAAATAGGACTTTATATAAGAGCATTTCGTGTGTAGTATTCTTCGGAGACATCAAACTCACTAAATGCCAAAGCGACTGGAGAAAAAAGAGTAGAAGTTATGAAAGTTACCGATGAAAGATGTGTGCCTCGCCGTTGGACCCATCTCTGTCGTCAGGAGATTAGGGAGAGTGGGGCTTTTGAACTCTTAGGGATTGTGGGAGATATAAGAAGTGTTGTTCTAATATCTGGTTCGAATACCGATTAATATAGGCCTGTCTAGTAGTAGGAAGGGTATTGACACTCAGCCCCCTCAGCGTAGAACGGTCAAACTCGCTCGAAACTCGAAGTGGTGCAGATATGAAGGGAACCGTGCTCTAGGAAATAGCTCCGATATTGTTCAGCAATAGTTGTAAGCGTCTTATTACTGTGTATTTTAACGGTGATTCGTAACTTCGCCCCGTTCCGAGGCAGGGCGCTCAAGATTCGTTAAAGTTGCACTTCTGGAATACCGTTTGGTATCGATCAATAATTATCGGTAAATATCAACTTATTGGGTTATTGATATGTGTTCAAAGCTCGGCTTTCGCTGTGGTATTTTGGGAATTGCGATGTAGGAACTCTTAGAGCACGAAAATGGATGTGATGTGCAAGTTATTGGGTGGTAACAGCTTTGCTCCTTTCGAAAACATTCGAGACTAGAGAAATGAAACAGATTCGTCTGAAAGAGCGGCGCACTGATTTCATCCGATACCGATCGACCTACACCGACGAGTATTGACATAGTGTGTAAGTAACCTTGCACATATAAGCTTCCTTTAGACTGAGCGTAGATGTGATGTAGTATATGCGCTGTGGGAATATTACTCGATTCCCTAATTTATATCAAACTTTTTGTAGTGGACCGGTCCATCACAAATTCGTCCTTTTCCGATGTAGAGCGTTCAAACCAGAGGGAAATTGAATTGACCTGATGGCAGCTCCGCTGAAAATATAGGGATTGTCTGTATAAGAAGCCGACCAATATTAAGCAGTATCGATTTGTACTGCTAGATATGGGCTAGTCACTTCTCGTTTCTTTAGAGCCGTAAGAGGGAAGAGGATAGTAGGCGCTAGTACGGCATTCCAATTCTAAGTTAGAAAGGAGGAGAGCACGGCGATCCTACTGAACAAACGATACGGAAGAAAATAGGATGGAACAGCCTCCGAAGTGTTGATTGGCCTCTTTACCTATTCTTGTGATTCGTGAACCTAGAAATGCTTGGGGTATGTTCAGAAAAAAAATAAATCTAGGAAAGAGATAAAGGCTCTATCGTCAGAAACTTTGAGGAGTTCGATGGTATTGTCGCCTAAGAGAATGAAAGGATATTGTGTTGGAAGGATCTATAATAACATCTTTGTCTGAGGAACGCGAGCATTGGTATTAGGGTGTTCGGAATGTTTTGAGAAAATTATGTCTCTCAGCGATGAGGACTTGTTGCTCACAAACGCGCTGAAGAAGAATTGGCGATTCGCTAGCAAGAAAAGGTCATTGTTGATAGACTACTACGGTATTTAACGTGGTCGTCGACCGGACGATGACCACGTTTTCACCAACAGAAAGTGGAGTCTGCTGGA